ATATTTGTTATTTATATGGATGCAAGGTAAAAACTTCTCGAGATGCATCCGTTATGGTGGATGATGTTCGTATTCGAAATATTCGAGCAACCACCGACAGCGGATCTAGGGGCTCGCGGTTTCCCCGAAATATCAATCTTTCGCGACAGATGTCGTTAAGAAAATTCTTAGCCATTGGCCGATTCTTAGTCGTACATTCCGATTTACAGTGTTTGTGCGTTATTTTGAAAACGGCTCTTGTTTTTCAACCGTGACTGCAATTAATTTAAAATCTCGTTACTCAATTTACTATACATTTATTAATATTAGAATCACGGTAGTGTTAAATTCCCGTGAGTTTTGTGCGTATTTTTGCTAAATATTTGAGAATGTTCGTGATCAACGAGTGGTGAAATGGAGATGTGCAGAGATGCAGATGGTAATGAAGACATCAAGTAGAAAGTGATTCACAATTTGCCCTCCCTCGTCAGCCTAAAAAATTTGTTCATAATTTTAATTATTACTGCGGTAATTAAATTCTTTTCATGTTTTTATAATTTCAATTATTGCTACGCCTATTCAAAATTATTAATTAATTTTGTATCTTTTTCAATTCTTTTCAGGCTTTTATATTTTTAAATTAATGCGCCAATTTAATATTACTAATTAATTGATTCCCTTTGTTCTTGTCCGTATTTCCGTTTTATTTACATGTTTTAGTTTAGGTTGCATTAAATTACTATTGATTTGTATCTGTATTATTTGTTTATTTTTAATTTTACTTTTTTGCTATTTTAATATTTAAAAAATTATAGTTCAGGAAATTCTATAATTAGGATTGGCCACCGTTAAAAGCAAATTCGTTTCTCATATTTCCAAAATCTGAATATTGTATGTTAGTGTGTGTTGTTTTGGTTTGAATGAAAGCGAGCTCGCAATTGTTTGTGTGTGTTTGAATACATGAGCAAAAGTGTTTCGATTTTGAATGATCTGAATAATTATTGTTATGATTGTGCTGGGTTTTCGATAGATCTTTCAAAAAATGTTAAATATTCATTAACATTTTCAAATTGTTAGGTGCTTGATTAGAATTATAATAAATTATTATAGTTGATTATTCATTTATCAAAATTAATTAAACATTTGTTATTTCCCACGGTGTTATACTCTTTTTTAATTATTTTTTTTTTATGCAAAATGCATTCAAATTTATTTTAAATTATTTATTATTTCGTTAATAATGGAAATTATCTCCCTCTCCTCGATTGATACCTTTCCCTCTCATTGAAATTTAAATCCAAACAGTCCATAGCCTCCCTCTCTAAATTCTGTGCCCCTCGAAACCCAAATTTAAATATCCCACATTATCTCTATTCCAATACCTAATGTCCCTCGATTGATACACACTATTCCGCTGCTTTTTTTTACCTCATTCTTCAAATTTTCATACTTTTTTTTTGTATTGATGTCTGTCCAATAAATTATTATTATTATTGGAAATTATCATTTTGTTTCAAAATTGAAACAATGTGGTCAATTTTTATTTATTAACATTTAATTTAATTTTAAATCTTTTTCAATTTCAATGGTGATTTCGTGTCGCCTCGCGATTAATAAGCATGAGCAGTTAGTGGCAAATCTAACGTATTTGTCAGCTTTTTATGTTTTCTGCTTTCAGGGGTGGATCTAGCGTATCCACCGTGCCCAAAAATCACTCGAAAGTCGTGCAAAAAGAGACTCTTCTTTTTAACAGTTTTAATTCAACAAGACTTGTCAGTAGACTCTTTCTGCACGATTGTATATTTGTATTCTAAATAAAGGATATTTCAGTACCCTTACCCTTCCCCTTAGAGTTTATCACAAGGGTTATTTCATTCTAGTTTTAATTTATCCCTAGGATCGTGAAATGGTTGCACACTATCACGATCTACCTGCAGCTCTCTTGCAGCACTCTTTGCTTTCAATTCAATCGTATATATTTGCTTTTACTTTGATAATTAAAAGTAGCTTCAATTCTTATTAAAGAAATCTTTTGTATTTGATTGGCATTGGTTCCCTTCACGTCCACCCATAACTGGTGCTATGCCTATTATGGGGATGCCGGTAATTCCGCAGACTAGTCAGTTTGCTCTTACAGGGTCTTTGCCGGTCCCAATACCTTCCTTACTTCTCTAGCCATTTGCCATTTCAATACTTTAGTTTTCTCTTCGTTCGGGCGAAGTTTACTATCATCTTCATCTTGACTTCCTGGTTAAAGTTAGGCATTTAGTATGGATCAAATGAGCTTTTGCTTGGCTCACGATTCACTCACTCCATATCAGTTTTTTTGGAGTTTGTTTTAATATTTCGAGTGATTTTCCATTTATGTAATGTCTGTGGGGATCTAACGTATTCCCACGTGTTTCTCATTCAGCAGATAAAGTTCACCTCCGGACTGTTGCGCTCGATTTGTTCATTTTTGCTGTGAAGGTTCAGGTCTTGCTGCTAGGTCGGACACTCTGCAGGTGGACACAGCATAAATCATAGACAAATTATATGATTAGGTGGCAATTGATTATCCTAAATGTTCAATTAGGCAGTTACTAATGAATACAGTAAAGTGCAATTTATTATAATACTTAGTGCTCTCTTTCGTTAGGTTAGATTAAGTTATATTTGAAATACGCCCATTTTGCCTATATTCCTCTTTAGTTATAAGTTAACACCTCAATCGATCTTTCTAACTCTTATTAACCAATTCGAGGACTCTCCATTCTTTCCTAGAACCGCCGACTCTCCGGTTCGCATTTACCCTTATCCTTTTCCTATATCAATATATCCCCTTACCACGAGGAATTGAATATTTTTAATTTGTAAAGCTATCGGCGATTACTCAAAGCCTATAGAGTAGTCACAATACTGAACAGCGATTATATTGTTATGCATTGCATATTACACTTTCATAATATAGAAAAAATAATATAAAAAATAATTAAAAAATTGTTATATGATCATAGCATTTCCTTCTATCCTAATGTTCCCTATTTTCTTTTTGATTCCTCCAGGGTGTGCGGTCACGCGTTTTCTCTCATTTACTTTGAATGAGAGCAACGATTTCCACGTGGGCGCATGTCCAGGTGCTAATTAAAGGTATATCAACTTGTTCCGAAGATGATAACCAGGTATCAATTCAAGATCAAAACACAGCCTCTGAATCTATGCAAGACCGTACGCATTTAACTTCGCGAGATTGCACCTGTTTTTAATCAGAAAATGAGACGGATCTCGTTTTCATGCACTAGCTTTATCTATGGGATAAAAATTAAAATCTAATAAATAATTATTAGTTTCTATGAATGAATTTGTATAAATTATCATGTCAATTTGTGGATGTTTGTTTTTCTATAACTTCTATGTCTATAACTATCTAGATACTCTATTTTAAATGAACTAAATATCAAGTCTGTAATTCCACGCCAGTGAAAAGTCAATACTGTTGTTGGTAACAATGTTAACATATTTACATTATACGTGTCTTGGAAATGCAACGTGAAATCATGTAACTTGATTTTGTGCGCTGTAATCGGAAAACTTTGGTACACGAAGACCATCTTAATGTATGAGCATCAATAACATCTATTATACATTCGAAATGCGGTTTCCTATATCATCGGAAAACTTCGCAATCTCCATCACATAATTACAATGAACATCCGAACGAAAGTACAGCAATACAGAAAATCTTAATTAAATTAAATATAATATACAGTTTTTTTTTCTTCTGAAGAATTTCCTTTTTGCTGTCTCAAATAGAATCTGCTATATTAGATGTGACCTGAATATAGAAAAAAACTTAATCTTCCATTACCTCTAATGCAATTAATCCATTCTTAAAAGATCAATTATTATGTCTGGTACGTCTCCAGCTTCGTCGAAGATGAAAGAAATATAGTAATTAATTTCTAATTCAAACTTAATGTTGTTTTCTTTGTCCTTTCGCTCTCGCTTTTTATTAATTTCGTGTAGTACGATTATTTCACAGTAGCAAAAAATTCGCACGTTTTTTTTATATCTAATCAAAAAGAATCTTTATTAAAGATATTTTTAATATTCGTATTCATTTTAATATAATGAATTTTACCCTGGCGCATGCACCAAAAACTCAACGAAATACCTTTGAAATTAAATTGTATAATACAATTAATTTTGATAACTTTAAGATAGATTGTTTAATTTATATTAGTTTTACTTATAATTTGACTGATGATAGCAATGCGGACTGTTCGAGGTCATAAAAGTAAACAGCAGGAAAAATGACCAATTGCATTCATGTCCTTAATCTATATGAAAGCAATTGAGAAGTACACATTCTTATAGATAACTATACTCATTAGTTCTTTGTCACAAAAAAAATATACATAAATCATAAGAAAAATATATAGTTTTTTGTATATAAATGTATCGCACAACATTTGTAAACTGTGGATACATTTTATTTGTCTTCTCGATATAATTTAGTGTGCAAAAAGCATTTGGTTTGAAGAGGGAAGCAGAGAAACGGTCGTAAATATACGCTTTATTTATTTTTTTCTTTTGAATTATTATACATTTCTCATATATGGTACATTACGCCCAACTTTACCTTTTTTCGTGCATTTTCATAGATGCTTTAGAAGTAAATTTTATATACACTTAAAATCTATAGACTTACTAACTTCTTAAGTAAAAATGAACAAATAACAATTTGATTTTTTAATTGCTATTAATTATGATTTTTACTATATTAGATTGCTTAAATGTTTCTTATCTTAAGTTAATTGCAACATTGTTTATATATAAGTAAAATTGAAAAGTGCAAAAAAAAAATAAGAATTTTATGTAATTTATATTAATTTTATCATATTTTAAATTAAGAAAGTGAAACAAGTTTAGAATAAAATTTATATATGAAATTTGATGATATTTCAGAAATATTATATAGTGTAGATATTAAGAGGAATTTTTCAAAGTTTATATGAATAGTTTGTAAAACATGTACTCACACAATCCAGAATATTATATAGACGTTCATGATGTAATAATCAGTTGTTGATAAGTTATTATTGAAACTGTAGTAGTAGTAGCATTGTCCAAGAGTTTCGCGCGCGCTTGAAACAAAGTTTTCAGTTGAGATGGAGGAACCCGCGCGCGCTTACCACGAGACATGCATGGGAAAACTGAAAATGCGTTCGTCCTATTCCTTCGGCTCCTGAAAATTGTTTGGTTGTGCTGTTGTGTTCATGCGCGACATTTTCGTGGTCGGTTGCGAATGTTCTACCTACGTTCGTTTAGCACACAAGAGTAATTCGCCTCTCTCAGTGTGTGTGTGTGTGTGTCTGATAATAATGAACGACACTCGCACGAAGATTTGCAATTGCCTTTGTACGCTTATACCCTTATACCTGAAATTTGCTGGATATTGCGAATATCGTCTTTGTTGAAGAGGCGAACCAACCAATCGTAGATGAGCGTCTGCTCTCTCGGCCTAAAAATTAGTATTAATAAATTGGAAAACGAAAACGAGAAACGATTTTCATTAAAGGCCTTTTTACCTCCTTCTCCTCCTCACTACTTCATTACCTTTACGAATATATTAAATTATAATACAAAATTCAATTTTATAACTGTTAACTTAGGAATACCTTCTTCATGATTAATAACTTTTAACGTTTGATTATTACAAAGAATAAATTATGATTTTCATCTAACAAACCTTGAGAAAATACTCCTAAAACGCAGACTACTTCATTAGCTTAAGAACTATTTCGGGAATTTGGAATCTGAAGTTTAGATGAAGAGAATTTTATGGTATATCAACTTTAAATCCATCGTAAAGAATTATACTTAGATTTCAATAAAACGCTTTAAAAATGTTGCGTTTCTTATAATTGTAATAAAATTTTATAGTATTATGTTAAATCTACAACTTTTCTACAACATTAATTTTAATAAAGCTACAGGTACAATCAATTTCCATGCAATATACCTGAAACATTCTTTGTTTCCGTCACCTTTTATAAAGATTCCTATTAATCAGAGAACGAGGTTTCTCTTTTGATTATTAATAGCTACAAAGCACGAGGATGATTTATGAAGTATCACGACAATATGTTCACGACCAGATGTTGTTCATGCTGAACAAGAATTTCAATGGTGAAGGGGACGTGTGTCGAATTTTACTAGTATATACTCAACTTAAATGATGCTTTCCTTGTATCTGCTCAAAATAATTTTTAATTGTTACTTTCTTGGGAGAATAACAATACCTCGCATAGTGCGGATTCACTGGGACGATTTTAAGTAAGGACTTGTATTTATTTAATTAATGTATGCGATAAACGTCTTGGAAGAACAGCAAAACCTCGCATAGTACCACTTCTATTAGTGCGGATTCACTATGACGAGTTTGAAACTAAATTTTACCAAATTAGTACACTTTCTTACAGTCAAGTCCCTTTTTTGTGCGCTGTATTTAGTCTAGTTTCAAACAGTCCGGAATATTGACGAAACCGCACTTTACAGTAAAACAATTAATTTTCTTTATGATTATTTCAATTTTAAAAGTAGGAATAGGAAGAATAAAAAAATATATAATTATTATAATTTATTAAAAGATACAATAAGTAAATAATATTAAAGAAACATACTAAGTTTAGCTAAATAAATGAAAATTTGTTGCATTTTTATGAAGTTGGTAATCATGTTGAACTTTGGGACCAATTTTGCATTTAAGATTTACTCATTTAATCTCATTTAAGGTGTTTTTCCTTTGTACGCAGAATTCAAACTGATTTTCGAAAGGCGAACGCTTAAGGGCATTAATTTTGGGTGATTTACAGAAACTTCCGCATGTATTGTTCGTGAACGCGCTTATTGTGCGGACAGAAATTGTAATTATGTTTAATCTTCGCGGGGCTTTTCCGCAAGAGTGAGGAGACTGTGGGTAGAGAATGGAAAGGAAGGAGCGAAGGCGGAAAGGTCTCTTTCCCAATTGTAATTCAAATACTTTTGAGACGGGAAAGGAAAGGTATTTAAACGTTAAGTAATTTATTGTTAGGAAATGCATCGTTTACAATTTGTTGAAACGCTCGGTGTCATCTTCGATTGCTTGGATCTGGGCGGAGGCGGTGCCGCGTAAACAGTCGAAGTACCTGATGATGGACCTCTCCTGTTCCGGCGTCTCGATGGAATTGGGCCGAATCAGCCGGATCTCCGACACGGCCCTCTCTGGTGTCATGTCCTTGAAACGCACCAGGTAGCAGGCGGCCATGACTCCAGACCTTCCTCTTCCCATCCTGCAGTGAACGCCCACAGCCTGCAACAACCACAAAAAAAAAACGTGAGCAAATCAGTTGTAGTTGTAGAAATTATTATAAAGATAAAATAGTTCTATGCGACGAGGATGGGATTCGAACCCACGCGGGCAGAGCCCATTGGATTAGCAGTCCAACGCCTTAACCACTCGGCCACCTCGTCGTTGCGCAACCATCAGTAATTCATTAGTTACATACAAATATTTCCTATCTTTGGTTATTAACAAAATCTGTCAGCTGGAATTAATAGTTAGATTCTCACATTTGCATGTTGAACTTTTTTTTGTTAGTTCATAAAATCAAAAGTAGAAATTGTAGAATATTACTGTTAATTTTCATTATAAGCATTTCTCACTGTTAAATGTTTTTGAGAAATCTGATATATTGCAACAAAGTAAAAATAAACATTCTACAGAATTCGTTTGCAACTGAATATAGAAATAAGTTCCGAGAACTAGAACATATTCCAGCGTAATGAAAAGCGTGATAAATGGCAAGGGCAGTAATTTGAAGGACGAACCGAAGTTTCATTCATAAATCAACGTAAAATGTGTGTGATTATTTTTACAGAATTCAAAAGATCTGGCATAAATAATGTATGTTACAAAAAAAAAACATAAAAACGTCTGAATCGAAACTTTTCCTATTCCAACTAAATTCATAAACTGTTAGAATAAGTAATTGTTTGTGTCTTATATCATTATTTAGATGATTACAATTATTTTCTAAGAAAAATATACAGTCAACCCTCCTATAACGCGGTACTCTCAGAACGCGGTTTCCATATAACGCGGAGCTGAAATTGCGACAGCCCTCCTATAACGCGGTACTCTTACAGGGCGGTTTCCGTTCAACAGCATCCCAGATATTGTAAGAGATTTAAGGATTGGTTTTATAATTGTTTTATCCCGGCAGTGGAAACCTATACGATGGAAAAAAAAATTGTATTTCAAAATTTTATTGGTTCTTGATAATAAATGTGAAAATTGTCTTCCTTCCTCCTAACTGCACGTCATTCATTCAATCTTTGGACCAAGGAGTCATTCAAACTTTAAAAATGTACTACACACGCCAACTTTTCCAAACCATTTTCGACAGATTAGAAAACAGTAAAAATAAAACCCTTACTCAAGTGTGGATGGAATTTTCTATTTTTGATTGTATTAGAACCGTGTCATCGGCTTGCGCGGAAATTAAACCATCAACACTTAATTCGTGTTAGAAACCTCTTTTACCTCAAATGGTTCA